CAACTATACACCAAGTCCACCGATTGGTAGATGCAATTTCTTACTCTCTGAAAAAAAAGTTATATTGCACATGTGCTTTTTTAGATATCTCGCAGGCATTTGATCGTGTTTGGCATCAAGGTCTGTTATACAAACTAAAATTCTTCCTACCTACATCCTACTTCCTACTTTTCAAATCTTATCTCTCTGATCACTCTTTTAAAATTTGTTATGGAACTGCCACGTCTGAATTAGCAAGTATAAATGCTAGAGTTCCTCAAGGTGGCATTTTATCTCCATTACTCTACAATATCTATGTATCTGATCAACTCACGTCTCCAAACACCTCAGTCGCAGACTACGCGGATGATAAAGTGATTATCTCGATTAACGATGACCCATATTTGGCCTCCGCATACTTGCAAACCCACAGTGGCGTATTTAGGAATTTTGCTAGGGGGGGGATGAAATATATAATAATACATCCTAACACCCATAAATTCGTACATAATATACATTTTTAAAATCCCCTAACTTGTTACCTATTGAGGTTAGTGTGGATCAAGGCAAAATAAGAATTAATCTTTATAATTACCTCATCATTTTCCAAACAAATTTTTTTATTTGTACTAAAATAAGAAAATAAAGTTTTTTTTTGTTTTTGAGTATTACTCATATTGTCTTAAAACTTCACAGTTACAACTTACAAGACGCAAAAAATAAAATCGAACAATAGTCAATTCGGCAGTAAGTCAGTACTCGGAATGGCGCGGCATCGCTATCCGTCAACGTCCAACGACCGTACATATCTACTTTTAACGAATCACGATATCATACGATAAAATATATATATATATGTAGTTATACATTAGCCATAAATCTACTAGTAACAAATTTTCTAAAAATAAACCCGCCCGGCCGCCCTATGGTTAATCCACGGTCTTCATGGTCATTTTGTTTTGTTTACCGATTTAATCGCATTTAATTAAATCTAAATCAAGATGAAAGTGTCATCAGTGGGTGGCTTCTTTCCTCAAACTTAATTATCACCCTATTTGTTTCTCTCCATATCGCACATATACTTATTATGTCTACGAGATATAGATTGTATATTTTCTTCTAAAAAAAAAAAAAAACGGGTCAAGCATTCATGAGCCGCATTTGCTTGGGCTTCGAATATCGTTTCCCCGAAGCTAATGGCCGTTTATGCATAAGGAAGTATCGTAATTGGAATAAAAGATAAATCTTTTCCTAAAAACATAAAGGTTATATTATATATATTATATATTATATATTTAGTTAAACACGATGAATATATGAAAATTTAAATTTTGGAATCATACTTATCATAAAGGTTCATGTTGTACTAATGTCATATTTTATTTATAGCTCTTCTTGTACAATGCATTCTAAAAGCTCGATACTAGAAGGAATTGTAACCATGCTTATGGCTTTCATTTCCTGTAAAAGAATCAAAATTATACACATAAATTACATGTTACGTAGTACTTAAATACGGTTGCGATTAGGTAAAACGAGTACGTTTATACCTACAATTGGCGCACACCCGAATTATTCGATAGTCGCAGTAGATCGGCGAAATTTTTAGTAAAACATAGCGAGTGTTTGTTTTCATTATCGATAACCGATTTGTATAACCCGTGGATTTTATTCTGTTTAAGAATATCAGCAGTCAAGATATTGGATTTTTTTGATCTTTGGATCTGTGGGCGTATTGAGTACAGTGACTTTGTTGAATTTGGTCGTACTTTTTTTCATTATTCAAAGTAAGAACTGATGCATTAACGACAGTTGAGATGACCGGCTCTTCATAGAGTCCAGAAGATATCCCGTTTCCCGTAAGTTTTTTAAGGGATATTTTTTCCGGTGGTTTGTTATTACTGCTATAATTTTTTACTTTATTGTACATTAGCGTTTGTCTTTTGCCCTCTTTTTTTATCATTTCATTGACTGTTTAATTAGTAAAAAATAACATTTTTAATACATAGAACATGGCTAGAAATGTAATTTAAATCACTAACCTTCGACTGTAAATATTTCAACAGTGCACACTACCGTATAAGTAAAAGTTTTACTGCACCCTCTTTAAAAAATTTATATTTCGGTATTATCCAATTCTGAGACATACAAAACTCTTGTAATGTGCTTATCGGATCAATTAAAAGTGAATTTTGGAAAAAAGAAAATTAATTTGGTACTATAATAATTAAACAATAGAAAAAATCGAAAATCGAAAAATTTCCTACATAACCTAAAAAGCAGAATAATGAATTTAAATATGTTTTCAAAATTAAAATCGGGCTTTTGGCACTGGGTGAATTTTTCTTCCGCTTTTTGGGACTTTTATAGCCACATAGGATTTGAAACATTTTGAATCGCAAATATAGTGACGTGTGACTGCTTGTAGGTATGCTATACGGATTTCCGAGATTTTTAGCCGTGACTATTATACGGGCGATAAAAATCAATTACATACCAATAATACAGCAGTAGAATAATAATAATGATACACAGCTACTAATAAAATATTATTCAGTATATATGTTTATTTTTTTTTGTGTGTCTGTCATCATGTTTTAGGGCAGTAAAAATGCTTCAATTTTAAAAACCCTGGGTAGTTTCTGGTAGCAAAATGAATCTAGTTAGTGCTTTGGGTACTCAAAAGTAAAAATCGGGAACTCGCTCTGCTGTACAAACTTATAGTAGGGGTGGGGTGGGGTTCGGTCATAGAATATAATGAGGATGCGAATTTAGACTCGTAAAAATTGAAAATTTAGACGCTCGTAAAATTTTTTTAATTGACCTTACGCTCGACTTTTTTTATAATCATTGTAAGCACAACTTATGAACAACAATATATTTAAACTAATATTGATTAAATTTTAATGAAAAAAATAAAATAAAAAGTGGTATTAACTTACTATTAATATGGAACTATTTTAAGATTATTAGATTTTCAGTTTTCTTAAAAAAATCCAGTACAGAAACTATATAAAATGTAATGTGGTATTTAGTTTGGTAAAATTATTATTATCTACTTTTACTATACAAAAATATAATATTAGTTTTCAACGAAAACAATGTTATTTTTATTGATGTCAATTTTTTTTTTTTGAAAAATAATAAATTTAAATTAACAAAATGGACTTTACGGTATTTTAATACAAGTTATTAAATTTTGGTAAAAATACAATTAAAAAGTATTCAAAATACTTAAAAATAGATAAAAAATTGTATTTAGAAAATACAATAAAAATACTATTTATTAAATACCATATTAATACTTCAAAATTTATTTAAATACAAGTACTCAAATATTTTTATTCGAATACTTTACAATACTGCTAGGATGGTCATTTTCATTTTAATAAATTATAACTCATTGTATACATTTTTACAGCCATATCGCTATGAGCACCAAATTCGCTAAAGACTAAACCTATCTTTATTTCTATAGTATTAAACTGTTTGTTATTTTTTTGTATTAATTAATAAAAGTTTTAATAATGTTTTAGTGTTAAAAATAAAAGTGTTTAATAATTATTTAAAATACTTATCTCTCTTACAACGTCTCAAGATAACAATGAACGTGCGACGTCCTTAAATAATAACTGTGGTACCAATCGTCGTGTCCTCCACAATGATCACTACAGCATGTTTATCTAGTAATTATTGTTATCTAACATGCATTTACGTTATTATTTTACCAACGACAATTATCTTCATTGTGAATGCGATAGTATTAAAGTTCTTGTGCGCTTGTATTCATTCGTTGATCAATTTCGGTCAGTTCATGTTATGAATGTACATTTCAATATTTCATAAATTTTATCAGGTAAGATTTAAGAACATATTATGATGGTTTATTTTAATTTAATATTGACTATACACAAATTGTTTTTAATATGCTCAAATTTTGATTAGACTTACTTTTGCTAAAAAATTTGTTTAAAGAAATCTGATTAAAATTAAGCATCTAAATTGCTAAAAAAAAGCTACAAAGACTTCACCTACTCAAGCTTAAAAAATTTGAGACTCTTATGTAAAAAACAGTACTTTTCTGGTTAAAATGTACTTAGAAGAAGAATTTTTGGTCTTAACGATTGATGCGAGACTTATTAAATCGCAATACATGTTAATTAGATTAAATGCTAAACATGAGAATGCTAATATTTATCTCTTTTATAATAAAATTATTGAAGCTAAGGCTCGATGAAAATAAAAGTATGTTAACTACTGAAAAAAATGCTGAAGTTAAACTTCAAGCCTTATTAAAATATACCGTATGGTATATATATATTAATATAAAACTTATACCATAACATAAAATATTTCAAACTGATACAATATTAATAACTAAATAATAATTATGTATAGGTAAAATCAATATATTAATAATAATTTAGAAACTGTATCTTAGATTGAGAAAAAAAAATTTTAATTAAAACTGTTAATTTATTAATTTAAATTTACATTACTATTTAAAAATACAATATAATCTAAATTTTTGGGGTGAAGTTTGTTCTGACGGTCGTTCGTTATTTGTCCCGTTTTTGAAAATACGCGTTCTGACGGAACAGAAGTCGCGGGAACACATAAATATTTTAATTGGAGCGAATAAAGTTCAGGAAATGTATTTTTGTGTTGTTTCCAAAAGTCTAAAGGGTTTTTTGTTCGATTTAAATAGGGCATTTCTAAATATTGCCGTATTAAGAGAGAAGCCGAGATTCCAGTTGATAAGGTTGTTCTAATTTGGGAAACTTTACTATCAAAGTGTTCCCATAATAAATTAGGTTCTCCGTTGATAGGCATATTAGATGTTTCGTTCTCTTGAGTATTTTTCATTATAGAATTAATTTCATCTGTTATCTATTTCTCCGTATTATTTGCATTATCCACTAACCCAAATCCTGTCTTTTTAAATCTTGGATCTAAAAATGTAGCTTTTGCTACTATTTTATTGCATTCTAATATCCTTAAACGCCTAGCTAAAACTTCGATAGCTGTTTTTTTAAGTAAAGTACCTGCTGCTGTTGTAGTCGTTTTGTTTCTCAGTGTATACTGAAGTCCTCGTATTCAAAAGAATAACTATGGATAGTGTTGGATAATTTTCTCCGGATAACTCAATTGTCATTATTTCAAAAGGTTTTAATAACGGAAGACAGTCAGATATTAATTCCCATTCTAACGCAGTTAA